GTATATAGGTATGTACTGTAAAAACTATTAAATAAAAATTTATTTTATCCAATGTTGCATTATAAATAATAGATCAATGGATAGATGAACAAATAGCAATGTTATAGATGCAGATAGATAAATAGTGAATTTTAGTAAAACTATAAACCACCATTCAAACAAAATTCCAACAAAACAAATAAATAATTTATTGCAGATGTAGAAAAAAATGCAACATTAATTAAATTTTATGTAAGCTTTCTAATCTTCTATACTTTTGAATGATTAGGATAAAAATTTCAACATGCTGTTTTAAAGCTAACCATTCAAAATTCCTTGACCAATAAAGATATATATATTAATTACATCTAACCAGTATTATATGCCTACTACACAAATGTACTAAACATGGCTATACAGCAATATAACAATTCTGATATAAAACAATTTTAATCTGGACTGAATTGTGTGAAAAATATTAGTAATAAAAAGTGACAACTTAAAAACTCACTCAAAACACAGCCAGATATTTTGAGTTGCACAGGTGAAGGGTACAAAAGGTTTGTGCTGAAGTTTGTGCTGTACACCAGGGGAGCAGATCTGTCTTAGGGGAGGTAGGGGAACATTTTCGCAGGCCCACACTTGACCTGCACCCATGACCACATCAGGCACATCCTACATAAGTCAACAGGGGCGGATCCGGGTTTTTTCCTTAATGGGGCTACCAAAAATTTCAGATGGCCTGAATCAACAAAACCATGGGAGTATGGTCCCCATGACAAGGGCGTGGTTGATAAACTAATATTTGCAGAGGCCTTACATAAAAATTAAAATCCAGGTCAATTTACTAGGCTATTAATTCACAGTCATAAAGAAAAGATACATGTTCATAAAATTTTAGTGGTTGCAGGGTGGGGGATAGAGCGTGGAGCTAACCAAATGGCAATCTCAATTCGCCCTCTTAATCTAGTCAACTGAGACTGCTATAGACGACCAGTAGATAGTATCGCGTTGTCAAGAACTCACAAAGAATGTCAGCCGACAGTGTGTACTGACTAAAAAAAAACCCCAAATACATATTTAATATTTAGTTGTCTGAGTTATAGGAAGGAATGTATGAAAAGCACCCTCTACTAAAGTAAGTTTTCTGCACTGTTTTTAAATTTTTTTGTAAACTTTAAGGTTTCTATGCAATGAGCTCTATTGTTTGCTCATATATGGTTTCATTATGTTTATAGTTTATTATTTGATTTATTTTTACTACTTATTCCAATTTTTATTCACATATTTATGTATATTTCCACTCTCACTGAACTTTTGGGACATTTCTGATCCCAATGTTTTCAAAAGCGCACTCAAGACTCACTTGTTTGCCTTGCACTTCCAATTATGATTTTTTCTGAGTGTTGTGTCTGTTGTAAGTTTTGTGTTTTGCTTTTGTTGTTAATTGCTTTGACAATATCGTGCTGGTGCTTGTGATTTTGTGTCTAATGCTGCAGTGCATGTTGCTCAGATTTTTCCCTGAAGAATGACACTTGGCGTGAGCTTTATAGTCGCTAGGGAATAGCCCATTAGAAATACCCATACTAGTACCAGTCACCCAATTAATATAGCTATTTCTTTCTTTCAAAACAATATTCATTTACTTTGCAAGATAATTCTTTTGTTTGTATACATCTGTTTACAATTTGCTGCAATTTTGAAAATCACTAGTTAACTTTACTCATAAAATATATACAGTATACTTTTTTGTACATACAAATAAAAACCTATTTTTAACCTACTAGCCTGAGATAACATTTAATAGTCATGTGTTTTCTGTTTATATTTTTTAAATTATTTTTCATCTAGTAATTTTTATGTGCAGAAAACATATGATTGAACTAAAATAAATACATACAGAAATGAATTCATCAAACTTGAGAAAAAATATTATGTTCAAGTGATGACTTTAAGTAAACAAGCATCCACACTTCAATGTATAAAGAAAAGTAAACATGCTGATTTCTCCATCTTACGATTGGCTAACTTGCTTATATGTACCTTGCAGCCACATCTAGTAGTACCCACTGACAGTTACAATGTATGTAACTGTACAAACGGCTGTTACAAGAGAATACGGGAAAACTGCATTACAATGAATTGCACATAAAGCACGGTTTCATTAAAATTGCTACACAGTAGCTAAAGTATTTTCAGCGCAATCGTTGTACTGCGTAGGACTCCCCGACACAATCAGGAATGCTCCCCGATTTGACCGACCAATCAGCATCACCGAAAGCTGTTGGCAATACTGTGTAGCGACTGTATGGAAACCAAGCTTTAGAGAAAACAGATTTGTTAATCTGTCCACACTATCATCTTTAACATAAAACTATTGTATGCCCATATATAGTCATGATGTGCCTATATATAGTCATGACATGATGTCATCATGGCTATATTTAGGCATGTCACATGCTTTTGTCAAATAAAATTTGATAGTATGGACAGGCCTTTATTCTTCTAGAGAGCAGTCCACATTAAAATGACTATAGTAGTCAGCTATACAACAATTAATCATCTTTTAATAAATTTGCTAACTTGGCCTCTAGTTCAGCATCTTTTGCAGCGTTGCTTTCAGCCAGTGAGCCTTTGTGAGCTGATGGAGCCTCTGACAACTGAAAGAAAAGACAAACTTCAAATAATACAACCAACTTGCAAATAGGATAAGCATCTTAATCACAGGATCATGGAATTTAATTCATGCTTGGGAAACAAATTCTCCATGGATGTCTAATAAGCATTCATCTATCCTTGAGTGCATGTCGAGGAGAGCTATCAGTTTTTGTCAGTGGCGAACCGTAACAAAAAAAAAATTTTAAACTAACAATATTAGCTTAGATATTCCAGCATCAATTAACACTAAAAATTAAGGTTGGTATGGAAGTATTGAAGATTGTGGCTAAGAAATGCTAAATAAAACAGAAACCAGAGCCTTGCAGGCGTCAACGTTCCTATGCATGATACATGACTTAAAAAGTATATAGGCCCTATATATATATATACACGTGTATATATATACACGTACATATACATATACGTATATATATATATACGTATACATGTATATATATATGTATATACGTGCGCGTGTACATACATACGTGTGTGTATATATATACGCATGTATATTATACGTATATACATACGTATACATACACGTGTATATACATATACGTATACATACATATAAGTATACATATACGTGTATATAC